AATAAGAAAAAGTTAACAAACAAATGTCAAATTAAACTCTGAGTTTATTAAACGTCTCAATGAGTACATTTGACAGTTTTCCATAAACTTAAAACGTTAAACAAAAAGTCTTCACATAATAGATGTTTTGCTATGTTACATTTAACCCAGTAAAGTCTTAATTATCCCGGAAACTGACTGAGCACCTTAAATAATTTTGACGGCCCTAAAAAGCCCCTTAATATCACCTAATTCCTCAGCAATAAATATCTGTGTTCGACCAAAATTTATAAAGTTGGTCGGCTACCGTGACGTCAAGCGATTTTTCAATGTTTACTGGGCAATATTTTTAGCGATTTTTCAATGTTTAACGATATTTGCAAAGCACATAAAAAGCACAAAATAATAAACCCAATTAAGCAGAAACAAGTCTTCACTGGATGGATGTTTTGCTAAGTTACAGTCAACCCAGCAAAGTCTTAATTATCTCGGAAACTGGATGAGCTCCTATAATTATTTTGGTGACTCTAAAAAGCCCAAAAATAGCACGTAAATCCTCAATAATATTTGTCCGTGTTCGACCAAAGTTTAAGAAGTGGATTTTTCAATGTTTACGGTGCAATATTTTTTTAGCGATTTTTCAATGTTTAACGGGCAAGATTTGCAAAGCACATAAAAAGCACAAAATAATAATTCCAGATGAGCAGTAAAAAGTCTTCACTGGATGGATGTTTTGCTAAGTTACAGTCAACCCAGCAAAGTCTTAATTATCTCGGAAACTGGATGAGCTCCTATAATTATTTAGGTGACTCTAAAAAGCCCAAAAATAGCACGTAATTCCTCAATACTATTTATCCGTGTTCGACCAAAGTTTAAGAAGTGGGTTAGCTAGCGTGGCGTCAAACAGTTTTTCAATGTTAACCGGGCAATATTTTTAAAGCCCATGAAAAGCACAAAAAAGTAAGCCCAGAAAAGTAGTAAAAATACTTCATTGAATGAATGTTTTGCTAAGTTACGGTTAACTTAGCAAAGTCTTAATTATTTACCAAATGGTCGGAGCACAAAAAAACGAAAAGTGGCCGAAAGTAGCACACAATGAGCACAATAATACGAACAAATTTTTTCTTCATTTTTTCATTTTAGCGCCGCTAACTTGATTGAGCTTAGATTTTAATATGGTAACCCAAACACCTCTTGATAGTATGCACCTTTTTGATCTAGGTGTTATTAAAAAAATGCTTGTTCGAATACTACAAAACAAGACGGAAGAAAAAACTCCAAAGATCAACATTTTGAAAATATCTCCAGGACTTTTAAATTTAAGAAAACATTTTCCAAAAGAGTTTCCAAGAAAGCCCAGGTCTTTGGACGAAATACACCATTGGAAAGCGACTGAATTCCACCAATTTCTTGCTTACACAGGTCCCATTGTGCTTTTTAACAAGGTACATGAAAATATTTATTATGAATTTTTACTATTGCACTGTGCTTATATACTACTAAGCAATCCGCGGCATGTAAACAAATATATAACAGAAGCTAACGATATGATTCAACTGTTTGTAGAAAATTTCCCTATTGTATTTGGTGAAAATAGCGTTTCTTTCAACATTCATAGTCTACTGCATGTGACTTCTTGTACACAAATTTATGGTACCCTTTCATCGTTTTCGGCTTACGATTTCGAAAACAAACTCCAAATTTTGAAAAGTCATGTCCGGAAACCATCTTCGATTCTTCAACAAATTGTTCGAAGGAAAAAGCAAAAATTATATGTAGCACCCATGGAAAAGAAATTTAAGTTCGAAGGAGGCATACTAGTAGGAGCTTTTGTGAATGATTGCTTCATATCTTGCAACGAACATAATAACATATGTTCTGTGGTATCAGATATCCCTGTAAAAATCGAAAAAATCATAAAAGAAGACGAAATTTATGTTAAAGCAAGACGCTTATTGCTTTTCACGAGTTTTTTTGAACAACCCGTAAATTCCTGCGAATTGGGTATATTCAAAACAAATTTAGCTTTAGGAGAAGTAGAAAAATTCGCAATTAAAGATATTGAATACAAGTTTGTGTGCTTACCTTTTGAGTCTGATTTTATAATTATGCCAATTTTACACAGCTGCCTTCCAGAAAAATGTCGAACGAGCGGGCTCAATGTTCAAAAGGAAAACTAAAATATTTCGCTACTACAAATTGTCCTGGCTGTCGTGAAATTTCAAAAAAGCTTGAAGTATATAAAGGTATATTGCTTTAAAGACTTTTAAAATCAAATATACTTTGTTTTGATTAGTGTTCACTGCATAATACTATTATTTATTATTTCAGATACCGTTGAAAAGCAACAGAACACTATCATCGAGATATTGGCGGAGCACAAAGTGTTGTTGGACCGTCTTCTTTCCCAAAATGTTGCAGTGGAAAACATTATGAGCATTTTTCCTATAAACTCAGATGAAAAATTAAAGGAATTTGGACAAAATTTTAGCTACAAATGCGGATCCTTATGTAAGTGTATACCGTAGCTGGAAAATAGAATTAGCAAAAGTTATTCAATTTAAACATTTTTTAGAAGCGACAAATGCAACATCTTATTGCTGGCAATGCAGAGCGAAACTTACATCAAATATTTGGCCAAAATATAATAATGAGCTATAATGTTGACGGAATCAGCGGAAAGAAACGACTACGGGATTTATGCAATGTATTTTCCGTAATTATAGGTACAAAATTTTTTTTACTACGGTTAATTTTTAAATCGTATTAGTTTTTAATAACAACGTATTTTCTCCTTATAACCAGATGTCATATCGACCTTCAGCAAATCATCAGACACAACTTTGAGAGGAACTTTCCAACGCCAAAAGAAAAAATTCTTCAAGCAAACAACCCGCATTAAAACCCAAAAAAATAAGGAGAACCGAAATGATGAAGAAAATGAGACTGAGAAATACGAGGAAATCGAATTTATTGAAGAAATTGATGAGACTTAATATATAAAAACTACAAATACTATTTTTTAGATTGTAAGAAAGGTTTAGCTAGCCTTGAAGAAATATGCCAAAAACCAAGTACCTTTTTTATTAAAAATAACTATCTACAAGACATCTTTATCAACAATATACATATCTGTGTTTCAATTAATAGGTAGTAGAGAATCTCTGGTGCCAATGTCTCCATATGGTCCCAAAGGGAGTACTTAGTCAATACCTCTGGAGAATTGCAATGACAAGCACATGTGAGATGTCTATAGAAAATAACATTGTGTGTCGCATATCTTGGAACTAGTACTGGTGACAAAGTCAATAGCGAATCGATAAAGTTTCACTGTCGACATTTACTGCAGGGGATAAATAAATAAAAAGGATTTTAGCCAAAGTTTGCTGATTTTAGTTAAACAAATCATTTATTTCAAAGCAATTTTTATAAATTTTGAAGATAAATCTTTTATATTCCAAAGTGAAGTGAAAAACTTCAATTGAAGTGACAGCGGCAGCACTGGTTCGCACGAGGCGATTTTGCGTTCAACTCACGCAGGGTTGCACGAAAAAAAAAAAGTTGAATGGCTAAATGTTGGCTGGCGATCGACTTTGTTGAAAGCGATTAGTTGAAAGGCCGTTCAACCAAAAGCAGAATGCAAAGTTGAACAATGCAAACGCCTTTTTATGACGAGTATTTTGATATTTTTTTATATTTTGTTATTTTTTTTCCATTTATGGAAATTCGTCGGACTGGAAAAAGGTTCTAGGGCGCCAGGAAAGGTTGGTGGTTCTAAGGAAATATCATGATGATCAGTTGGCGGGTCATATGGGTGTCAGAAAAACTTTCGCTAGGGTAGCACAAAAATTTTATTGGCCACAGATGAAGGCGGATATAGCGAAGTATGTGAGGAATTGTAAAGTTTGTCAGCAGGTTAAGCCTGATAATTCACAGCCAGCCAGGGTATGGTCGAGAGGTCCAAGGCAGCCGAGCCTTGGGAAATGATTTGCATAGATCTGGTAGGGCCCTTGGTGAAGTCGACCCAAGGCTAACAGTATATTTTAACGGTAGTAGATTACTTTTCGAAGTTTCCACTTTTGTTCCCCTTACGGACTGCCATGGTGAAGGGCATCTGTAAGATCCTTGAGGATCAGGTCTTTCTTTTGTTCGGAGTTCCTCGGTCGGTGGTCTGCGACAACGGACCCCAGATCAGGAGTCGTGAACTGCGGGGGCTCTGCGGAGCGTATGGTGCCCAAATCCGGTACACCGGCCACTACCATCCGGCCGAAAGGATTAACCAGAAAATAAAGACTACTCTTAAAGCTTAAACAGACGGCAGCGTTGATCCGGATCAACTCGGACTTAATCCGGATCAACTGCAGTTAATTCCCGAGTTGATCCGGATCAACGGTGCCGTCTGTTTATGCTTTTAGGGCTTACGTGTCGGAGAATCAGCTGTCATGGGATCAGCAATTGGCTAAGGTAGCTTGCTGCATTAGGTCAGCGCAGCATGAAGTTTTAGGAGCCACGCCATATTTTGTCAACTTTGGTATGGAGATGGCGGTAGAAGGGACTATATCGAGTCATTAGGAGAGCAGGAGAAAAATAGTTGCCAGAGATGCTCGAAGAGATTAGGTCAAGCGTTAGGAGTAGATTAGAAGAGGCCAGTGCCAAGTCAGCGAAGCAATATAACCTTAGGAGGAGAGACGTTCAATATATGCCAGCAGAGCTAGTTTGGAGGAAGAATTTCGTTCTGTCGGATGCAGCAAATTTCTCCGCGGCGAATTTGGCGCCGAACTACGTAGGACCTTCCTCTGCTAGGGCTTGTCGCTGGTGCGGGGGCTTAGCCGAATCGCCAACCGGTGACTCAGCTTAGGGCCACTGGCGGACGGTGACCAAGAACAGCCACCTCCTAATCCAGGGTGTGAAGCGACACCGTGCCCATTGGACGGTTTGCAGCCAGGAGGGAAACCGGCTGTATTAGAACGGCGCCTTCTCAACACCGGGCCGCCTCGAGGAGTATCGGTGGCCTTACCGCGACAAGGGGCGCGGCGGACGACGAGATCCCCCTACTATTAATAGACTACTACGTCTGGCGAGTCAGACACGCGGTCGTACGAACAAGATGAATACAACAACTAAAGAAACCCAAACCAAAAACAACATCAACAAAAAACAAAAAGAAGACAAAGATAAAAAAGCAACCAAAGAGGTTCGGAGGAAGAACTATTTAAATAGTCTCTCCGATGCTTAGGTAGCTCTATTGCAGCATGCGAAGGACGATGAGGAGCCCTGCGCTAATTCGGGCATCTACCACGAGAGGGCATGAAGACCAACAGGTGGGCATGAGACCACTGAGTAGCTAAGAACCGTAGAAGGCACGACAGTGAACCAGCTCAAGCGCAGGATAGGTCCCGCAGCCGTAGCTCTACGGCATCTCGCGACTCTACGAGGCATGAGAAAGAACGCCACCGGGATAGGCGGGCAAAACCACTCACACTTCCGCCTCTGGGGCAACCAGGAGCCCTAGATGACCGCCGGCGGCTTGGCCTCAGTGGGGAAGCCTCGAAACGGTATGTAAGGTACCTGCAAGAAGGTAAGACACCCGAGGTGGCTAAGGAACTGGCCCTTGCCATACCGTCCTCGGGACAGAATAAAGCAACCGCACCCGCGAAAGAGCGGAAGGGCGGGCATCAGAACAACAAGCAAGAGGACTCTCGCAAACAGACTGCACCTGCCGACAGGCGGACGGGCGGGCACAACAGTGAGAAAGGAAGGGACGCACTCCCTGATAAGCAGGGTGAGGGACACTTTAAAGACAGGCGAGACCGCACCCGCTGAAAAGCGGAAGAGTGGGCATGATCGCAGAGACGCCAAGAATAGCGACGAAGGTAGGAAGGAAAGGGGGTCTGACGAGACCGCAACCTCTGCAAAGCGGGAGAGCGGGCATTTAACACCCCAGACTCCCGATCCGAAGAAGCAACGGGGGACCCGGGGGTAGGCTCTGGGAACCAACGTCCTCGCGGGGCGGAGGAGGGCAGACGCCTAGCCACTCGGATGCTCTTAGGGGCATCAGGGTGGCGGTACTGCCTAGAGACTACCCTCCGGAGGCGCTGAGTCCGGAGGAGTTGACTACCCTACAGGACGCCATTATGGATGAGGTTTTCAAGGGGTGGTCGCACCCGCTGGCGTTCTGCGGAGTATACTTCCGTCCCGGCATGTTGCTAGTGGACTGTAAAGACGAGGGCACGGCATAATGGCTGGAAGAGGCTGCACAGAAACTAGAAAGCTGGAGGGGGGCCATGTTGTGCGTCAATCGTGGTGATGACATCCCACCGATGCACAATATGTCCATCTTCCTGCCGAGGAGTGCTGACAAATCGTCAGATTATGCGTCTGGGCTGCTGAGGGCGCAAAACGCAGGGCTTAACACCCCTGCGTGGCGCGTCATTTCGAGCGCCATAGAGGACAACTGTCTACGCCTTAATGTAGGCATCGGCGAAGATTCGAACTGTAGTGTCAGATGGGCCGGATACAAGCTGAATTACAGATTCAGCTTTGTAACAATGCGGCCCTGGCGACAGAAGACAGCGGACGACAAGGAAGGGGCGAAGAAGACACCAAGGTAGATGGCAATCCCCCTGCTCCAACGGAGACAGGGAGCGCGTCGGCCCATCAGCTTACACCTCAAACCCAACCTTCGAGTCCAGGAGGTACCGGTGGGCAGAGCTCGGCGGCTCTCATGCAGGGGCAAGTCCCCTCTACATAGGAGCTGCTGGGGGGTCTGGATATGAGGCGACTTGAACTCGACGGGAGAAGCGAGGGCGATCTACAGCTCTCGGACCTCGACGAGCAATGATGAGGCACCCACCGCCCTTGAAAGTAGCCCAGATCAATCTGCATCATGCGATTGCAGCCTCTGCTGTAATTGCAAGCAGGTTTTCGACGGACGATCTGCGCATATTACTTATTCAGGAGCCGTTGACTTACAGAGACCAGGTAAGGGGCCTCAAAGGAGCAAGAAATAAGGTAATATGGGACCTCTCTGCTGAGAGGCCCAGAGCACGTGTAGTGCTTAAAAACAATATTGATTCTTTTTGCATTCCTAACACAAGATCTAGTGGCAGTGCAGGTTACGCTTAGGGTGGACGGAAGACCCAAGGATCTAGTCTTCACTGCCGCTTATTTTTCAGGGGACACCAACAACATACCCCCTGTAGAGGTACAAAGATTGGTGACGCACTGCAGAAAGGCCCGACTTCCACTAATCCTCGGCGCAGATGCGAATGCTCACCACGTTGAGTGGGTAATTTCCGACATAAACAGAAGGGGTGAGTCGTTACTAGAATATATATTGAGTGAAGATCTGAGTATTAATAAAGTGGAACGTAGCCCGACATTCATCACTGGAGTAAGACAGGAGGTCCTTGATCTGACTCTCAGCAACAATATGGGTAACGATCTGGTCAGACAATGGAGGGTGTCCACGGAGCCTTCCATGTCTGACCATAGAATTATCCAATTCGTGCTGGGAGCGGAGGTCAAGGCTTACGCTCCGATGAGGAACCCCAGAAACGCCAACTGGGACAAATATAGAGAGCTTTTAGCTTTGAACCTACCGGGTTTAGAGAGGGAAAATAATAGGGCTGTATTTCGCTAGAAAATAAGGTTAACAGGCTAACGAACATTATGACAGACGCCTTCAACTACAGCTGCCCCGAGACCAAACCAAACCTGGCGTCCAAAAGCGCTTGGTGGTCAAGGGAGCTCTCAGCGCTCCGGAAAGAAGTGCGCAGACTATTCAACAAGGCCAAGCGAACAGGAGGCTGGGATGAATATGCAGCTAAGCTAACGATCTACAGCAAAGAGATTAGGAAGGCGAAGAGAACCGGCTTTAGAACCTTCTGTGAAGGTATTTCGAATACCCCAGCAGCTGCGAGGCTACACAAGGTTCCAGCTGGAGGAACGGTGGAAACGGAACTTGCGTTTAAACGCAGTGACGACACCTACACTAGAAGCTTGGAAGAGGGAGCTATCACTCTGCTTGAGGCACACTTCCCGGAGGCCACTCCCATTGATCTGGAGCCAGAGGTTGGACGGACCAGACCGCGACCATCTGACTGGAAACTGGCCAGAAGCTTAT